GGGCGAGGCTGGGAGCGATGACACAGCACCTGCCACCCCTCCACACGCTGCTCCTCACAGAGCCAAGCCCAGCGCTGGGCCGGGACACGCCCTGCACTGCAGGGGCCGCACACTGGCCGACTCTTGTGAAAAACACGCTCGGAGCCTCGCAGGCTGAGTCTTAAAAAGATCTGGACCTTCCACCCACGGATTCCACTCCTTAAGGATGGGTTCCGGGGAATGACTCGGTGAGCCCCACCCCCACCCTGGCCCACGGAAGAGGCAGGAGCAGGGTGAGGTGTGCCCAGCATCCTTCCGGATGTTTCCAAAGACGGCAGAGGATCTTGGGGAGACGGTGAAGTCACTGGTGGCACGTGAGCCTGCACGCGGCACTCTGCCCAGTGCTGCGCGGGTCCCACACGGCACACGTGAAACCCACGGACTAGACGGAGAAGCATGAGAAGCAAAACAAAGCAGCTCAGACACACACTCACCACGAAGGCCGCACGCACAGGGGCTGAGACAGGCGACGAGCAAAAGTGAAGTTTCCGGTCGTGGGCATCCCCCCCCCCACCCCCACTTCTGTTTGCTGTTCTTGTTACTCCTTGTTTTGGTTAAAACAGGTGAGAAATGAGTGCTGACTAATTCTAGCATCATCTTTGTAAAAAATATATATTTGTATTGATTTAGTGCGGTCCCCGGGAGGTCGGGAGGTCGGGGCGGAAGCGGGGAGTCCCCGGGAGGTCGGGGCCAGAAGCGGGGAGTCCCCTAGGGATCGAGGCTCGGAAGCGCGGTCCTACCTGGAAATCACGAGCTTCCCACGTGGGAGGCGGTGCTGTTCGGGTTCACCTGCGGGAAGACACAGGAAGGTCACGCCAGGTCCAGCCCTCAGCATCACGGCCGGCACACACACTCACCCATCCCATATTCCCTGCACACCTACTATGTGCCAGGTGCTGGGAAACGTGAGCCTGACAGACCAGGCCTGCTCTCATGTAGCTTATGTTCTAGGGGAGGGGCTGAAGCGCACACACAGGCACGATGCTGGCCACACCCGGCACCACGTGGGCCACAGGATGACAGTGGGGCTGCTTCACCTGGAGGGAGGGGCCGATAGGGGGTGTGTGTGTGTGTGTGTGTGTGTGTGTGTGTGTGTGT